CACACACACTCACACACGTCACCCCGCGCACCGGCATTCAACCGTTTTCCCGCTGCACGCTCCTCTCGAGACCCGCGGCTGCCAGTGCCTGGCCTTGTTTCCCCTGGCCCGACGGGCGTCGTACCGGGCCCCGCCCGTCCCGGAGTTCGGCCTTTTTTGCCCTGCGCCGTTTCGCGTCGGCGCGTATCACACCTGGCCCCGCCCGTCCCGCGGTTCGCTCCGCGGGCGCGGGTCTCGCATGACAGCGGGGCCGCCTTCAAGAAAGAACCGGGTCTCGCGTGTGGGACCCTGCCACCGGGAGCGCTGTCTCGCGTGGGCCCATCACGCGAGACCCGCCTTTTATTAGAGAAAAAAACTTTGGATGCTGCTTTACATTGTGAGGGTTTTCTAGAGCAGCAGAGGCAGAGGCATGGTAATATGCACTTGGGAATCAGAGTGATGCGTCTCGGTGGGACGAGGCCGGAGAGGGGGGGGGGCTGTAGTTGAGGGGAAGGCATGTGTTGTTTCATTGTCTGTTTTTGCATGTAGTTGGCGCTTGTCTTCAGCTCACCACACACGAGCAACACCGTCCCTTGACAAAGGGACAGGGTGTATTAGTGCTTTGTTGATACTTTTGAAGCATCAAACAAGTTGTGAGTGGGCAGGTTTGTAACTTCTTAGCGGGGACATAGCACCGGCGGGGTGCACCCCTTGGTCTCTCCTGTAATCACCCCTCACCAGTATGGTTCCCAGCCGTTTCGTTCCTATGCGGATGTAAATGTGCTGCGACCTTCAGGTTTTGGTCTATCGATACAGAATGTGTGGTGGTGGCACCAGCCAAACTCTTTGATTTGTGTGCATGCTGGTTCGACAAAACTCGTTGGGTGGCATAAATCGGCCTAGGAAACGGAGGGTTGGAAGTACTGCTGGTTAAGTTGCATATTTACGTTTAGAACATGTGAACCTGGTCACTAAACCACCACTCATTTTTTGGTGCCGGGCCCCGAGCCCTGGCCAGCATTGTCTTCAATTTGCATCCCATCCAAACCTGTGCCAGGCCTGTGTCTCCCAGCCTGCCAGTGGTCAACTGGGAATTTGCTTGGTTGCTCAGCAGGCGGGTGGTTTAAACTGGCCACTTTACGCTTTCTTAGTTCTACAAACACAGCACGGTTGGGGCCTTTTCCTCTCTTGCAACAACACCTTGTTACTTGTGTTTTCTTTTCTCAATCAACTTAACCCATATCTCAGCACAATCACCTTTAGACGTCTAGACCTGTGGAGCAATGCGGGTGTTTGTAAGCATCAGCCTAGCCATTAGAATGACCAGGTTCATGTTTTCCTAGGGTCCTGCAGTTCGGAGCGTCCTGCGAGCATGCCTCATTACATCCGTTTTGTTTCTCAAAACAAGTGTGCCCATATGGTACTGTGCTCCCTCTTCATCTGGGAGCCCTGTCTTTATAATGTGATTGCAGGTATCGTTTCTGCATACGTGATTGACTCCTTGCTCACTTTCTTTATAGGATTGGATGGGAAGACACACTTAGGGAATGTTTCAGCAGTTTTAGGAGGGACACTAACATCGTGAGAGCATACCACCCGGACCATCTCGTGTTTGGTTCTCTCAGGCAGCCCAGGTGGGATTGTGGGTCAAGGGTGCAGGAGGTGAGTGACAATGTGAAGATATGTTGATGATATCGGTGATATCCATGGTATGTGGATTGTGAAGCTAGTGATTGAAATTTCCTAAATTTTGAAAATTGCTAATAACTGGTGCTATGCAGTAAATTACTAAATTCCAAATTTTGCAAAACTCAGAAAAACTGGTAATTACTAATTCGGAAATTTCAATAATTTTGAATTATCTCCTTTTCTTGTTTGTAATTTCCAGACAATGAGCGGTCCAGTGTGCCAAAAGTCAATTTTCAGGCAAAAATTTCGGAAAGATGTTTTAGGGGGAAATGTTCACATGGTTCACCCTCCCCCCTCCCTTTCCCCCAGACATACACACGACCGAAGATAAAAGTAAGTCAGGCTTTTTACTGGGCCACCTGGTGGCTGAAGGTTGAGGGAGTTGTGATGGACTCTGTTTGGTGTGTGGTGCTTTCTTTTACAGCTTTTGGCAGTGCCCATGAAAAATGGGAGTGCGGATGCTGCACTTGTCACCGGCCTGGATGTTCTTAACAAAATCTTGGAGAAGCAGGCAAAGCTTTTCATGCAGAATAATGCTCAAGTGATCATTCAGGTATATTGTTAATTGCCATGTTCCTGTCCATTTTGTGATGCAAGACTGATTTCTGAGACAATGATCTGCGAGGAGGTGGAATGCATCAGGAGAGAAGAGGAACAGAAACCTTAACCAATGTCATCTCCCTCTTGCTCTCGCCGTCATCATTCCTTCACGTATTCAGTGCCTTCTCTTTGGTAGCAATGAAATACAATAATCAATGAGTGAATGAACGGGAATCAATATCCAAATGATCCCCTTACTGCCAGTGTAGAAAGAGCACTCCTTTAGTTCCTACCACTCTCCTCAGGACTTGGTATGGCATCTAGCTATGGCAGCTCATCCATGCCTAGCACGGATGTTCAACACACAAAGCAACTACTGTCATGCCTCTCACCCCTTGTAGTGCCAGAGCCACCTTCTAATTGAAGTCCATGTGACTGTTACCCCAGCTTGGGCCTTCTTGATGTATTGCTAACCAGGAAGATGAAGATGAAGGTCCACCATAGCCAAAGATAAGCCTCCTTGTCCTTCCTCCTCCCCGACCTTCAAATCACCTCCGTGGCCGGGCTCAATGGACGTTTACCTCTACCTCCGTGGCCTAGGCCTTCTCTTACCTCCCATAGTAGCCATGGAGGTTGTCTTCCTTACCCTCTCGAATGCTCCAGCTCCTTCCTCTCGGTGGAGCAGCAGCATGGCTGCTATGTGGATGATTGGACTATTTGTTGCATGGAACGATGCAATCTTTTCTGCCTGGCCTCCAGTACCTCTTGGCCGGACACTTCCTACCTCAACCCTGCCTGCTTTTGGGTGCACCTGGACTAATCATTGTTCCTGCTTTTGGCACGAACAGTGTTAGAGATTGATGCTGTTACATGCTGCGCCTGCAACAGGCTGCACGGGCCCCCTTTCCAGGCACTTCACGTGTTCAGACCAAAAGCCTGAAAACAAGGGCCTACAGGCCCCGTGTCATTTCAGCCTGAAAGCCTGAAAACAAGGGCCTACAGGCCCTGTGTCGTTTCAGGCTAAATCAGGGTCTTTCCGGCCCTGAGTGTTTTCAGCCTGAAACTGAGGGCCATTTTCAGGCCGTCATCAGTTCGACCCGCCCTGAAACTCAGGCAACAAACCAGGGTTTTAGCACAGGCCATTTCGGGCCTGTTTTCAAGACAACCCCTGGTTGAGCTTCAAGGCCAGGGTCTGGCACATTTCGGCATTGGCAAGAGCAGCCTCCTGGACGGGCCAGCACTATAGGACTGGCCCGCCCTGCAGGCCGGTAGGTAGTTCCTAGGTACTTCCCAGGCACTTCACGTGCAGTTCATGAGGCAGGAGGTAGTCTTCAGGATTCGGCAGCAGCACTCTGGAGGAGCGCTGCAGGAGTAGTAGTAGCGCTACCAGTAGTCTTCAGCGCTGGGCGCTAGTAGCGTTAGCAGTAGTCTTCAGACATTGGGCGGAGGCCAGGGATACTTACCTGCAGCGCCATAGCTCCAGCTTCGCCTTCGAAGTACCTGCAGCACAGCGCCAACTTCACAGGTTAGTACCTGGCATATGAGAGAGAGAGAGTTCTTCTTCCTCTTCTCAGTCCACCATCTCCATCTCACCCTCTCGTCACCTGACTTGACTGCATCAGCAGACTATGAGAGAGCGGGCTTGGTGACATTTGGATCCAGACTCTACATTTGGGCTTCAGACATTTTGACGAGGGATTATTTGGGACTTGTAACAAAGACTTGGTGTTGACGACATTCCCATCTCTCCCCCTCTTCTTCGTCTGTTCCCCTCCTCTTCGTCTGTGCAT